ACCATCACGTCCCCAGCTCGATCAGGAAACTAAATCCCTATTTGAGGAAGAACTAGCTAAACGCATATCTGAATTCGACAGCTGTGCTCACCCTGGAGAAGCCTGGAAGAATATTCAGTCAGCTATAGATACAGCTGTAAAAGCTGTGAATAAGGCAAATCCAAAGGTGAGTAAAAACCACTGGATTTCGACTGCCTCATCCGAACTGATAGATGCTAGAAGACTTATTCCGGCGAGCTCCGAATTCAATGAGGAGCGAAAGCTGCACAAAAGGAAACTTACTAAAAGTCTCCGCAAGGACCGTGAACAGTGGTGGGTGACAAAGGCGAAAGAGATGGAAAAAGCATTGGCGATAGGCAACACTAGGCAACTCTTTAGACTCATCACAGAATCGGGCGGGAGAAGGCAATTCATAAGTGAGACTATTTCTGAGAAAAATGGCTCCTTAATTAGCTCTCAGGATAGACGCCTTGAACGCTGGAAAGAACACTTTGAGGAACAATTTAACTTGCCTACAGCCACACTGAACCTCCCCGCCATCCACCACGTACCCGAATGGGATATAGACACTGGTCCGCCGTCTGTAGGTGAGGTTACAAAAGCTATCAGTAATTTGAAACGAGGCAAAGCGGCAGGACCCGACGGAATTATTCCGGAGGTGTTTAAATATGGGGGTGACATACTAGTTTGTAGATTAACTGAGGTACTAGGCAAAGTCTGGGAATCAGAGACAGTTCCATCAGACTGGGGTAAGTCACTTATTATACCGATATTCAAGAAGGGAAACAAGTCCTCGTGTGATAATCATAGGGGGATCAGCCTAACGAACATAGTCTCTAAAATCCTAGGCTCAGTAATCATGCATAGACTAAGCAGAACTCGGGAGGAACAGACAAGGGAAAATCAAGCAGGCTTTAGACCAGGTAGAGGGTGCATAGATCATATCTTCACTCTTCGACAGATTCTAGAACATAGACACACTTTTCGGCGTCCAACAATTGTCATATTTCTTGACTTGAAGGCGGCCTTCGACTCCGTGGATCGAAAGGTACTATGGCAATGTCTGACTGTGAAGGGAGTGCCAAGAAAGTACATTGCACTAATCAAGGCACTCTATTCAAACTCACGTAGTCGTGTAAGGGCTTATGGGGAATTGTCATCTGAATTGGTAACAACCAGTGGTGTCCGACAGGGATGTCCACTTTCCCCATTTCTGTTTAACTTCATCATAGATATGCTAATGGAAGTATCCTTAACTGAACGTAATGACTTAGGAATCGACTTGTTACCAGGGAATAATCTTATGGACTTAGAATATGCAGATGACATAGTCCTGTTAGGGGAGGATGCTGACAAAATGCAGAGTCTTCTGAACACCTTGAGCAGCAATCTTCGTATGTTTGGCATGCGATTCGCCCCTGCAAAATGTAAGATGCTGCTACAGGACTGGACCACGTCAACCCTAACTTAGTGATAGGGAGTGAAGTGATAGAACATGTTGACCACTTCACCTACTTGGGAAGTTGTATTAGCACCAACGGACTGATTGGCGATGAAATCTCAGCACGGATCCGAAAAGCTCGAGCTGCTTTCGCTGACTTACACCATCTCTGGCGTAGGCGTGACATCCGGTTATCAACCAAGGGACGTGTGTACTGCTCATCAGTTCGCTCCGTCCTTCTCTATGGCTCTGAAACATGGCCAATACGCGTTGAAGACATGAAAAGGTTGACTGCTTTCGATCATAGATGTCTGCGATCTCTGTCTCACGTTAGGTGGTTTCACAAGGTAAGTAATGTTGACGTTAGGCGTAGAGTGTTGGGCAAAGAGGGAAAATCAATCGACGAGGCTATAAAGTTACATAGACTAAGATGGCTAGGTCACGTGCTGTGCATGCCTAACCACCGCCTCCCCCGACGGGCATTGCTAGCTGATATAGGTTCAGGTTGGAAAAGAGCCAGTGGTGGCCAAACAAAAACATGGCATCAATCCATGAAATCCTTGACAGTTAAACTGAGTCAGGTAGGGAGATGCAGACTCCCGGGTTGGGGCCCTCGGGACTCTAGGAATCAATGGCTGGAGACAATAGGTGACATGGCTCAAAATCGTTGTCAATGGCGCAGATGTATTCAGTCTCTGTAATCTTTCATATTCCTTTCTACCATTACCCATTCTGTTTCACTCTTATACTTGTCAAACTCTATTAATTCTCTTCACTCATCTTCTTGTCTACCTCTGTGTGCTATTTGGAACGTGGCAACTCGAACTGCTGCACTTCGGTGCCAAGTTCTATGTTGAATCCAGACAGACAGACATAGATAAATTCATACGCATAAACCATGAGATACAATTTTAATACATAAACAGAATACTAAACTAGTGACAGAAATTTAAGGCAATAAGTCTACTAATGAGGTGAGTATGACTCATAGGTATATTTACACCAAATCAAAAGAATAGAAAATCATAGCATGAGCTCCATGAGAGTAGAAGCAAGCTGAATACAAAAGCAGCCTGGATGTAGACCAAAGCTAACCCAATATTTGGAAAATTCCAATAAGTGTGTACTTTTAATTTAAAACTGATGTTACTAAAGACGGTATAAGGACTGAAAACGCTTTCTTTTATCAAAAGTGGAGACTGAAAAAATCAGACCAAGCGATTTCGGTACGAACTATTTTTTGGCTGCAATTTCTGTTAAGGTGGTTATCTGGAATTATGATAGGTTCACTGAGATGCCAGTTGGTTCATAAATGCATGTATAGTTATTTTAACCTGTTTCCCATTAAAATGTATAGATATAATCAAAAAACAAACGCACATTGCATTCAGATCATTGTGTAAAACAAACGACGATGGTTACTTAGAACACACTACTGGAGTTCCTTCGCAACATAACTACTAAATGAGATTAAAGTATTACACGATAATGCTTTTATGTAAGGTCAATAAAAAGGAGAACACAATAGCAGTAAACCATTATATCAACTACTGCGAAACATTATACCAGTCTTATTATGCTGCTATAAGCTCAAAAAAACCATACTTAAGTGTTGGTCCGATGCGCAGGATGTAAGCATCGAAAAATTATTGATTACGCAGTCTTCTGAATTTACTGCGACACTGGCAATACAGGTAAAAATAAGGTTTTTTAGCTGTCGTGTCTACAATCTAAAACCTAGTTTTTAATATCGGTAGGTGCTTCCGCACTAAGCGGTCGAGTCTCTTCTGCCTGCTCACTTCAACCTTAGTGGAAACGAGTTTTAATTTATCTATCAAAGCATATTGGCCGACAGAACTGAGTGCAAGGGGCTGTCAAGAAGGTTAAATGCCGATGGGCAGATTATACAGAACTACTTATTCGGTTAATCCCACTTTGAAATGTTACGCTGACTATTTACAAATTCTGACGACAACTACGGGAACAATACCAGATTACAAAAACATTAAATGGATTCAATCCGTTCGATCTTAACTAAGCTTTTTGCTCACTGTAACAATGACTAAAGAAAAGAACTTTAGGCAGAATATGGGCTCGGGAAACACCGGTTATTGCAGAACATCAGCGGGATATAACTGTTTTGTATGCGCATAAATACAACCACAAAAACGAGTGAAAAATCTGAAGGTATCAGAAAGTTAAACAGTTAAATGGAGGGAAGCTTTACTTAATCATTGATCGATTGAGCAGATAGTTTGAAGCAGAATCATGATCGCTAGGAATGAACAAAGATCATCATTGGTCGGCAAAAGTTCAGGAAATCAATACCAGTGAATGATATAAAGCTGGACACATCAGCGTGGCATAACAGGTAGTTTGCTTAAAACGTTGAGCTGCCTAAATCCCCAGAAAGCATAATAAGTCCAATTTACTCAGCTATTATTTTGTTTTGACCACCTATTTATGTCCTTGGAAAATATCTAGTAATCCCGTGAATTTCTGTATGATTTTTAACATACCGCTTGGTTTGTTTTGACGGGATCAATACGTCAAGCATACCTGAGTGTCCCAGATAGAAGAAAGTTCCATTAAAAGATATAGTTTGGATTATGGTCTTACTCTAAGATCCTACAGAAGCAGTAGATGAAACGAAGCTGAAAGATCTGTACTGAACATGAACACTTTACTATTATCATTACCTCTTTTCTTTTGACGACGACACCGGAGGAATAACTGGTGAAAGGATCAACCCCATTCACAGCAGCAACAAAGTCTTCACACCGCAAAATACAAATAAAATATAATTAATCCCAGCACCACTACTTCTGGAGTCACCCAAAGCTACGACAGTCGAGTGGCGAGACGAATTACGCAGAAGTTTACCTAAAACTTGAAACCTTTACCTCACAATCAAGAACCGACTACAAAGAAATCAAATTGGCTCACACTAGCTCGTAAAAGCGATATTGGATTTTGGAACCCTAATTGGGTTAAGTGGATTGGACAGAATAGTGATCCAGGATGTGTAGAAAAATAATAAGAAAAAAGATTTAGAACCCTGTAAGCTGAGAAAGACAATTGTACAAACGCCTTCTTCATTTAACAATTTGAATATACCACAGTGTATCATATAATGCAATATATATATATATATCCTTCGGACGTGCACATCCAGGCTTAAAACAAGTTGGCGATAATATTTAACAATGCAGTATAATGAACTGATATTTTGTATATTCAAGAATTTTAATTTGTGCTGAAATGATACAATTATTGCTGAAAACGTTCGTGCTAGTACTAACACTCTTATTGAAGTCAGGAAACATATGTTTCCTCATATGCTAGAATAAGTGGAATTTACCACTGAAATAGTTTGAATAATACTCAAAAACAAATACTGCTATTGTGTGAGGAAAAGTGTTGATATAAAACAGCATAAAGCACTACTTCCACATTATCACCAGCTAAAGCTTTGACCGAATTCGATTGTTAACAATACCAATTTTATACTTAGAAGTTATTTAACACAATTCAACAAGGAAATGACAGAAAAACGTACATCTAAGCTCTGGACTAAGTAAGCTATCCTCTCTTCGTGCGTCATGTACTTCCGAGGAGCAGAACAGCGCGATAATGTAGTAAAAATATCAAACTATGAAGATAGGAACCCAGATAAACAATGTCCAATAGTATAATATTTCATGTTTGATGTACTATTTTAGGGATACACGTCCCACTATATATTTTAACTTGTAACGTGTGTTCTTTTAAGTTCTGTTCGTCTGAACGTACACTTTATTTCCCTAATGCTGAGAATTCCATTCGGCATCACAAGTACTGTTTTGGAATAAAGCTATTATTATCTTATCTTATCTTAAGAGATTGCTTCAGAAGTTACGGAAATTGCAGGAGGACCAGGATTGTGTTAAGAAATAGTCTATCTTTAGCATTTTTACCCCCAGTTTGTGGCGTATTGGAAAGAACAGTGTATAAATTGAGTTTATAAGCATTTCGAAGAATTTCAGAAATCATGATGAGAATGTAGCGGAATATAATTCCTCGAAATTACTGACCATAGGAATAGATAATGTCTAAGAGAAGAATTACATCGTGACCATAAGAATCAATAGTGAACATCGGATGCTGACCATCACTGTTTAAGTCGACTTGTTTAACTGAAGGTTTCCCGTCAAGCACCCCCGCCATTTGGTACTCCGTCGTGTCACCGTCGTGCACGATATATAGCTAGCTTAGCTTCAGATTCAATCCGAGATTTGGTGCCGAAATATATCGCGTAATTTGAACAACCAATTCTGGTATTTTGCTTTGACTTTGGTACACGAGAATCAAGTTAGAAGATGTTGGTATAAGATCTTGCGTTAATAAACCTTTGTACTGTTTGCGAACATCTATACTGTCAACCTCTAAACTGGTGAGGTCAACCGCGAGCTTCATCTGTGATAAAGATGGAGATAACCCCGGTGAGTTCGTTCCATTTTGTATTTGTTCTTGTACTGTATATTAAGCGACATACTTTTCGTCATGAGTGATCCTAGTTCCGAGGTCATTCGTATTCGCTCAACTCCTAAACCATTCAGCTCGTACCATACTAGCCAGATAACGCTGAAACGTGGTTTTAGATAGCTGAAGCAGATTTTTGTGAGCATGGGATAACCGATCAACGTTCACAGTTCCTTGCAGTTATTCACGCCCTACCGCGGGATTTCAGCAAGTACGTAACTTTGCAGATGTCGGGTCCCGAGGTAAGTAACTCGTACGAGTTGCTCAAAGCATTCCTCCTCAGGAGAACCATTCTCACGGACTGACAACGTCTGGATGAATTATTTCGTAACATCGAGTTAGGAGATCAGTCAGCCATGAGCATGCTGGCAAGAATGAGGGAGGTTATTGACAAAAGTCAGTTCGATGAAGGACTTTTTAGAGAACTCTTCTTATCCAAGCTGCCACAGTCCATGCAGACTGTACTTATGACACTTCAGGGTGTTATAATAGATGACTTAGCTACTTCTGCAGATAAGATGCTAGGAATAACTAAACGGTCAGTTCCCGAAATATGCTCGATGACTAAGCAGACTTCGAATGAGGATACTGCAATGATAGAGTTATGCAACTCCATCCAGCAGATCTTTAGGGCAAACATGCATTCTAACTCCTCCGACCGTCGTCCTAAATCTCCTCAACTCCGAAACTCATGCGGTCGATCTAAGTCCAAGCCGCGTTCTCCGAAAAACCCTGACTGGTGCTGGAACCACAACACCTATGGCCAAGAAGCGAAGTGTTGCCGTAAGCCTTGTAAATATGCAAGTGTTTCAAAGTCGGTGTGAAACTATCCCGCCGGCACGCGTTAGCACCACATCATTACCTCAGGACAGCCAGTGACATCTAGAGCACGCCGACTGGCTCCTGACAAACTGAGAATCGCTAGGAATGAATTTGACCATATGCTTACCATTGGCATCACTCGACCTTCGAATAGCCCATGGGCATCCCCGCTTCATATGGTACCGAAAAAGGATAGCAATGATTGGCGACCCACCGGCGATTACCGGCGAGTGAATGCCAAAACAACCCCTGATTGCTACCCGTTGCCTCATATACACGACTTAAAGGCAACATTATCTGGGGCGACCATATTCTCTAAAATCGACTTGGTTAAAGCGTATAACCAAATCACGATGTCAACAGAAGATATCCCGAAAACGGCTATCATTACACCTTTCGGAATTTTTGAATTTTTACGTATGCCATTCGGTTTCCGGAATGCAGCCCAAACATTCCTACGCTTCATTGATGAAGTATTTTGCGGTCTCGAATTTTTATATGCATACTTAGACGACTGCCTCATCGCCAGTTCAGACGAAGAAACTCACCTTAGACATTTGGACTTGGCATTTGACAGGTTACGCCAACATGGTGTTACCATTAATATTCAAGTGTCAAATCGGTGTTGACTCACTCGACTTTCTGTGTCACACTATTGACTGCAAGGGCATTCGCCCACTGGCTACTAAGGTCGAGGCTATACTGAACTTTCCAGAGCCACAGACGGTGAAAAGTCTCCGCACTTTCAACGGCTCGGTAAGTTATTATCGACGCTTTATTCCCAACTGTGCCCCTTTGATTCAGCCATTGACAGACCTTCTTCGAGAGAATAACAAGTCTATCGAACTTGACGCGTCTGCTCGATATGCTTTAACCCAGATTAAAAAAGCCAGTGCGAATGCCACACTTCTTATGTATCAGGATCCAACGGCACCGTTGAGTATCTCGGTTGATGCATCAAACACTGCAACCGGTGCAGTTCTACGACAGCTAGTTAACAAAGAGTGGCAACCACTCGCCTTTTTCTCGAGGCGCCTTCAATTAGCTAAAACGAAGTACAGCACATTCGGCAGAGAACTTCTAGCAATGTACTGTGCTATATGTCATTTTCGACATTCGGTAGAGGGTCGTGAATTCATGATTTTTACTGATCACAAACCTTTGATGTGCTCTCTGAACTCAAGTTCAGATAAGAATTCACCCAGAGAACCACGACAACTGGATTACGTTTCACAGTTTACATCAGATATTCGCCATGTATCCGGAATAAACAACACTGTGACATATGCTGTCAGCCACGTCTCGTAAACCATTAATGCCCAGCTCTTGCTACGCTGGAACTCACGCTGTTCCTCGAAGCTTCTCAGAAACGCTTAGAACGAACGGACGCAAAAACCAGAACCCAGTTTGGCGACTAGAGAATTATTTATTCTAACGCCAACATACAGCCAATGTACAACTAAGCTTTACAACTAAGGTTTCTGACGGTTGTCTTCTGACTTCTTTCTGAACAGCGACCGATGAGACGATGACTGGTTTATTGATGCCTCCGCGAAAATTGGGGAAGTTGGGTTTGAGCAAACAACCATGAATTGATCGTCCAATCTTCAACTGCATTGACATATGCCTCGTCGCGCCTTTGTCTTCTCACCCAAATCAACGGCATAGACCTTGTCAAACTGGCTCGTTGTCAGTCACGTCACAAAAACCGTTGATGCCCAGCTCTTGCTACGCCGGGCCTCTCGCTGTCCCTCGAAGCCTTTCAGAAACGCTTAGTACTAACGGACGCAAAACCAAAACACCGATTGGCGACTCGAGAATTCTTTCCTCTAACACCAACATACGAGCAGCATAATAACTAAGATCTATGGACAAATATTACAATAATAAAACACGATATTACTTCTGACGGTTTTTGATCTTCTTTCTGAACAGCGACCGATGAGACGATGGCTGGTGTATTGATGCCTCCGCGAAAATATAGGGAATTTGGGTTCGAGCGAACAACTATGAATTGATCGTTCAATCTTCAATTGTATTGACACTGGTATTCAAAAAGAAGATACCGAGCTTCAACCGGAGTTGGCGAAAACAACGCTACAATTAGCTGAGAAGCCCTTAGGTATGGGAAGAGATACTATTCTTTGTGACATTTCCATGAGTACTCCTCGCCCCATCATGCCTAAAATTTGTCGCCGTAACGTCTTCAATACGTTGCATGGCTTGTCACACCCAGGTATTCGAACTACTGTCAAGCTCGTAACTAGTCAGTTTTGCTGGCCTGGTATTAATAAAGAAGTAAGGGAATGGGCACACACGTGCTTAGCTTGTCAAAAGTGCAAGGTAATAAGGCACACCAAAAGCCCACTTGGCACCTTTCTTCTCCCTTACGCTCGTTTTGAACACGTCCATATAGATTTTGTTGGACTCCTTCCTGAATCCCATGGATATACCTATATTTTAACTTCCATCGATCGATTCACACGATGGCCGGAAGCAGTACCCATCAAGGATGTATCTGCTGAAACAGTCGCACGCGTCTTCGTAGAAAGATGGATCGCTAACTTCGGATGCCCATCTTCCATAACAACTGATCGCGGGCGGCAATTCGAAAGTGGCTTATTCTTCGCCCTGACTAAAATCATAGGTTGCATGCGTTTTCGAACAACGGCCTACCATCCTCAAGCTAATGGTATGGTAGAACGTCTACACAGACAGTTGAAAGCAGGTCTGTCAGTTGCAAACAACACCCACTGAACTGAATCCCTTCCATTAGTTCTCCTAGGGATACGAAACGCCTTGAAAACCGATGCTGGTTGTACTAGCGCCGAGCTAGTATACGGCGTGGCACTACGACTCCCTGGTGAATTTGTTTCTCCCTCGAGCTCCCCACCAGCGGTAGATCACGCTTCATACGTCAGCAGGCTTACAAACGCAATGCGTTTAGTTAAACCTGCTCCCCTTCGTCCACAGTCCATTAATGTTTTTGTACATCCGTGTTTAAAAACTTCTTCACATGTATTTGTTCGTCGCGACCCTGTGCGCAGACCTCTGGAACTCCCATACGACGGATCTTATAAAGTAATTAAACGTTCTGATAAATTCTTTGTCTTGGACAAAAAAAGGCCACAAGGACACTTCAGCGTTGACCGTCTGAAACCGGCTTACTTAGAGGGTAATCCTATTAGCGTAGAGCTCAGCGTACCCCATAAACCACAAGTAACTGAAGATCGTTTAGACATCGATGAAGTCACTAGCACGACGACAGCTACCGAATCTTCTGTCGAGCCCCCCAAGAAAA